TGAAGTCGGGAGACAGAACTGGATGTATGGTATTATTCAAGCGGTTGTCAGAAGGGCAGACTGCATCCATATTCTCAATCAGTGCTGAGGTGACATGTTATCCTCAGCTCTGCTTCTCACCTTTGCGTGTTATTTTTTGTCATACCGTCACTTCCATATACCTCAGTCAAAAGTCATCCAGGTTGGACTCCATAATCTGGGTAAACTCTTGCTGAGAGCATAGTGTACTTACAGTTTAGTTAACTATTGAATACCATCCAGTATTTTATTTATCCTGATTTAAGATACTACTAGTATTGTGTTTTATTAGTCTTATTACATTATATAGTTTGCATGGGTATTCTGATTCATAATTTATTAATAATGTCAATTTTGTATCTTTCATTCAGCCCACGTATTGTTTTCTATGTTGTAGCTCTTTACAGTACATTTTATTATACTTGCACCAGGCATACAAGAAAAGTATATACAAAGCAAGGAAAGGTAAATATGTTTAGCAGAATAATTTATTTTCACTCTTACTTTAAAATTGAATGTTGAACTCGGCTCTTTGGAGAAAGAATGTTGGTGTTTACATGTCTGGGTTTATTATTTTCAGTTTTAGTTACCATTTAGGTAGACATGAAAAACTATCAAAATAAATTTCATATTATTTGGGGGGAAAAAAGAGCTTGTGTCTTCATGATAAATTTGTTTCTTCAAAAGATCTTTCTTGTGACCTATTTTGTCAGCAAGTTCTTGTATCTGGGAAGATTATTTCTGTTGGCTAGACAATTTCAGAATGATAGAGTGAGATTAATAATATAAATACAGGTTTTCCTTGTTCTATTGATTTATTGGGTCCCAAATCTCTGAACACTCACCATTTTACCTTTGAGAGCAATGACAAAGTTACTCACATGTATGAGTGTTCTCAAGAACAAGCATCTTTGTTAGGTGCAGCTGATTAGCAACATATTAAAAAGAAAGAAAACCTCCTGTGAAAGTATCATTATAATACTTTAGCTGAATCAGATACGTAGAGGAATTACTAGGAATTGTGAAGATAAATATCTTTGTCTGAAATGTGGTAATGTCTCTGCTTCTGTTCCATGACAACATGTAGTAACTTAAGCACTTCCACTTTAGATGTGAGGCTGAGATTTTACGATTCCCTTAAGCCAAACTATGGGCTGGCCAGTCCTGAAAAGAGCAGTCTTGGTCTACCTGTGTTTGGCCACACATTCCCGCCTCCCTTCTGCCATACATTAGCAAGGTTATAATTAGCAGGAGACTTGGATCAGGGGACCGATCTTACTAAGAGTTGATTTTATTTTTTTTTTCTGAGGGAACATGAATACCAAGTTGCATATGGGTCAACAGGCAGTGTTCTCATTGCAATAGGCAAACTGTGCATAGCCCAGGATGAGTATGATCAGCAAATTGAGGAGGTTATGATTTCCTTCTGGTGCTGGTGAAGCTGTACCTAATGTGTTCAGTGGTTGGGGCTCCCTGCTTCCGGAAGCATAGGAAGAAATTGGAGGGAGTCTATCGGGTGCCCTCTGGTCAGAGTACATAAAGGAGCTGTGCTTATTAAGTCTGTTGAGGTGAAGATCCATAGTGGACTACTGCTATTTGAAGGAGAGTTACAGACAGGATGGAGCCAAAGTCTTTTTGGCAGTGCTAGGTGGTATAACAAGGAACAATGACCACAGACTGCAGACTGAGAGATTAAAGTAGAACCCTAAGAGGCTGATGCAGCACCAGAGCAGGCTGCCCACTGAGGCTGTAGAACCTCCATCCTTGGTGGCTTTCAGGACTTGACTATCAAAGCCCCAGCTGAGCTGAACTGGTGTTGGTGACAGCCTTGCTAGCAGTGGGAAGCTGAACTAGATGACCTCCAGAGGTCATTTACAATGAACATTTCTTTCTTGCCATTAATGTTATTGTGAAGATGTAGCCGAAGTCTAAGACCTCTTACAACACAAAAGAATTAATAAGTATTTGCAAAAAGCATTTATTGATTTATCTCATGCTAACATAAATTTCTAAGTCAGGTTAGGTGGCTCTTTCTTTCCACTAATTGGTAAATCTTTTAAGACTAGTTTATATTTTGAACAGTAATGTTGAGACACCCAACCTTCGGTGAAGTGCATCTCAGTCTAATAATGTCATTTCATCTGATGGAGTGGTAATTTTTACACTGCTGTCATCTGACCACAGAACTGAAATTTAAATTAGAAAATTTCCAAATTAGCACTGGTGTTTAGTATTGAGATATCTTCCAGAAAGATCTTTGCTACCAAGATACAGCAACTTCCTTACAGAGAAAAGAAGTTAAAATATTTCAAGACATAGCTTCTTTACAAGATTTCTGTAGTCCTATATAACATAAAACTACAAATATTTGAGAATGCAAACCTACAAATATTTGAGTGTGGTATGTATATTTTATATGACTTTAGTGAAATTTAGGACATGCAATCTCACAACAATAACATACAGATCTGAATACACTTAATTATTTCTCTCTCTCTCACACACACAGAGTGTCTGTGGGAAACAGTGCTCCATACCTCTCTGTCATATTGTTCATATGTCTAGAAGAAGTAGTTGTGTTTTTATTTGTCACTCGACCTGTATGCGTCAAGCACGACAAAAAGGGTATCTAGTCCTCCCCCACAGCAGCAAACTACAGTGGGGAAATTTGTAAACAGAGACTTACTGGTGAATCATCCACATCTGCAGTCTGCTTCTTACCAGTGTAGCAAGAGAGGTGCTGCTGTCAGTTTGAAATGATTCCCAGCCTCTGGAAGGCATACATTGATGGATTAAAACAAAATCCCCCCATGAACTCTCCCCAGGCATGTTGAGGTAGGAAAAGGAACACCTGACTTACCCACAAACAGGGGACCTTGAACGAACACCTGAAAGAAGTCCAAAAAAGCAGCGGTCTGTCAAGGATAGTGCTGATACCTACCTGGCTTTTGGACAACTTTCTGGCACCAGGCATAACTACAAACCTTATTTTGTGGTTAAACTATCTACCCTGCTGCATATTTGCAATATTGGCACTAATTTATGTTAGTGAGGAAAAGAGGGAAGCTAATAATTTGTACTCTTGAGTGGGGACCTGTCAAAGATGGTGTTTAGAGATGCAAAAAATGTCAGGCAGGTTCTTTGGCTTGTAACAAACCAGTGAAGCAGTTGTTAGCAGGAGGTAGAGGATCAGCAAAAAGTCAGAAGTTCAGAAACCAAGTCTCAGCTTGTTCTTCCTTATCAATCAGGATAATAAACTGCACACAGACAGGCGGCCCCTCTCAGTAAAACCTCAGAAAGTCTTTGAATTAAAAGTGAAAAATAGATCTTCTGAGCTGCTTCCTCTGTATCACTTCAGATTGTGGCAAGTACGTTTTTCATCCAGCAGTGAAAGAAGCAGGCCTGTGTTATCTGAGACTAGGCTTTTCATGCTTTTCACTGAGGGGTTTTCTCAAGCTTGCCTTTGGGGTGTTAGTTTCAGTTTGTTAGATAGGCTGGGGACACTATTGAGTCTATCAATAGATGGTTCAACTATATGTTTCATGGTGCTGGACTGCATCAAAATTAGTTTCTATCATGAAACTTTATGCTGGTTTAAAAGTTGCGATCCACCTATCAGCAGTATAGTTGGCTGGAAAAACATATTTTTTTTTTTCATTCCTTTCCCTTACGCATGCTTCAACCTCTAGAAGTAGTAAAAAAACAATGATTAGCATTTTTAAAATATATGAAATATAGGGTCAGTGTGAGACAGCCTCTTATTTGTATGGAAAAAGTACTTCTAAATAACTGGCAATGTCACAGTGGTGCTATAAAGGTCAATCTACTCAGTATATATTTCATATTCTGTGTCTGTAGCTTTTATTTGACTTCATGTCAAGATCCCAGCTAACGTCCAGTCTCCTATTTGTCGTTCAAGGCCAGAGATAATTTCAGCAAGCTTTTGAATTGGATTTGTGTATAGCAGGTGTGCCAAACTGCTTTTTGTACTGAATTTATATAAGAATGTATACATGCACATGTGCGTGAGTGTGTGTGTCTGCATATATATATATATATAGTTGCTTCAGCATACTTGTTGCTGTTAGAGATATAATATTTGAGCTGAGTGTTAAAATGGAGATTTCAGAGATTTGTGTTTTAAAATATATTCTGCTGTCTTATTCTAGTAGGACTTTTTCCAGTATATCAGAATTATCTGCCAACTTGATTACATTCCCTGTGATTTCAACTGATTCTGGTATTTGAATTCTAAACAATAGCTTTGATCTACTGCTTGATATGAACACCTGAAACAGCTCAATCTCAAGGGATACTTTAAAATATTTCCTACATATGTGTATATATTTGTACATTATGCAAAATAATTTTTAAGATAGTCAACTTCCAAATAGTGGTGTGTGAATAAAATAGTAATTGTACATTTAGAGACCATCTGTTTGTTATGATGGAGTTTTATTTCCTTCATTTCTGTACTTGAATATTTTGCAGAGTATAACTGCACATTTACATTGACTGTTTGACTTACTGCTCTTGCCTGGGAGGACTTGGAAGTCTTTTATGAGAGAAGAATCTAATAACTCTGTCACTATTACTGTTTGCTACCTCCAATGATAAAATATGAGGAAGATTAAACTTCTTATTTGAGTGACTGTTGTCACCTCAGTATTGTACATCTACAAATAAAAAAAAAAGTCATGTGGAAGCAAAAAGTCCTGCTATGTGAATGTATTCATCTGGAGTCTATGAAGGTGATAGTTATATAAATGTAACTAGATATTTATATAGTTCTATTTTAAAATTCTTCCTGCAAAAACTCTTTTTTGAAAGTTACTTCACAGCTGTTAAAAAATGGGTGCTGAAAATAGAATTGCATTTTTCACGCTAAATTTCAGTTCTATAAGTTTTGTTATTTATATTTGGATGAAATTATGACAGATATTAATATCAAGAAATTATAATTTCTCTCTTTTTCTTTGCAGAGTCACAGTGTACACTCTGTGGGGAGCCTGAAGGTGAGCGCATTTTCCTACTAATATTTTTAAAAGCAGCTAGAGGTCAACACTTGACTCAAATGATACACATGTACAATAGACTGGAAATGGTATCTGAATGATGAGAACCAATGAAAGTCATTTTCCCCTATCTTAGATACCAAGGATAAATTGAATTAAGCTGAGTAAAGCACAATACATGCTCCAGGTAGGATATGTCTTAAAGGACAACTATTCCATTAGAGCAAAAATTGAAATATTTACTTCTTATTCTTTCATGTGCTTGTCAAACTAATTTGAGGTAAGAGAGAAAGTGGAGACATTTAAGGACATCACTGTGAGGATTGAAAACAGAGCAATTGGACATAAAAGGGAAATGAGAAAATGTTTTTATGTTTGATATTACATTTACAGAGAACTTTAAGAGGCTAACACTTTTTAGCAGGTGAAGTGAATAAACACTGCTTCTGAAATAATGATAATTAAGTAATAACTGTTATGCAGTGCAAATACATGCCCACATGAAGGTGTTTCGTGGTTTGTTTTATTTTTTTTTTCCAAGTGACTAAATGCCAAGGTGAGACCCACAATTTACCTAAATGAACACTGAAGCAATGAGATTATGAGTTTTAAAGTAGGACAACATTGAGGAAAATATCTCTATTTATTAGTATTGGTGCTATTATAAAGAAAATGTCAATAGCTGACCTTAGTTTCAAATCAACCATCTGGAGACTTTTTGAGAAACATAGTCCAAAATAACAAATGTAAATGATGGAGTAAAGTATATCAATTAAACAATAAAATTATAGATTCTAGGCTCTTCCCAAAGGCATTTGGCTTTATATCTTGAATAGTTTCTGAAAAACAATTTAAACTTCTAATGTTTTATAAATTTAGGAGAGAGAAGTTATTAAAAGATGAAGCCTGGAAGTGAAAGACTTTGAGACCTTGCAACTAATGAAATAACTCAGTAAATTAAACATTAATTATCTACTTCTCCTTTGTTATCTGCTGACAAATAATTGTTTTAGAGATTTGTTTTGACTTTCTGCTCCTTTAATAGGCAGTCAATTCTTGATTTCTTAATTTTATTTGTCCTTTATTTGATAAATTTATGATAGTACAGATACACCTATGAAAAGGAAGAATAAAACAGGTGTTTGTTTGCCTTTCATGAGATTCTCCTTTCATGATAAGGCTGTCCAAAGTTGGGTTAGTTCTGTTTTGTTACATGCTATGTCCGCTTTAACAATAATTCTCCTTTCTTTTCATTAATGCTCTCTCATACTAGTTCAGCTTTGCAAATGTTAATAAATGTACATGGACTTTGTATAAAGGGAATTCCAAAAAGATTTGTTAATAAAAATGTTTAACATTTATATGACTAAAAACCCACAATCAAAAGATAATTATATATATTGCTGTAGGAACAGTCCTGAAGAACTAGCAAAATTTTTAGCAGAGTAGAAATGAACCTTCCCAGGAGTGAATGTCTCCTGGATCACCATACTCTCCCCTCAAAACACAACATTACTGGAATGCTAATTATTAATTCTCTGCCTCAATTTTTAAAATATTGAAATTAATGTCATCTTAGATTAGTGACAAGATTTAGAATCTTGAGTTTTTTCCTTGACAGATTAGCACAATTTCTGATCTAACACTTAACATTCACAGAAGTTTTATGTGTGATTTTGTGATGAAGAAGTAGTTGCTCAATACATATGACATAGTCTTTGCAAGGCCATTCTAAAAGAAATTTTTCATCTTTGTTGTGTAAAACAAAAACAAAAAAACCCAACTCAAACCTCAAAAAATATAATTTTCCTCTGGAACATTCTATAAATTTTGTTATGGTTTCATAGTAAACTAATTTAGTTACTTAGAAAACTAAGGAAGAACTAAAAAAATAATTTTTTTTGCAATTGGAATTTCTGACGTTTCTCTGCAGCCTGTTTCAGAAATCTGAGATACTCCGTGGCTTGTAGCTTGCATTTTTGATATCTGAGACAATTCAAAGAATATCAGTTAATGGTACATGCCATTTGCCTCCAGGTTCCTTTTTCCCTCCTCCTTTTCAGAAAAAAATCAAAGTTTATAAACTACATTAATGTCCTCTAGTAAAGTAAGATGAATTTGAAAAATTGCAGGACAGATACACCGTGGTGTAAGCCTCCTATATTAATTTCCAAAGTGTTAAGCAGAGGCTCACTCATGAAATAGTAGATGTAGAGAAATCTCCCTAACTTGGGAGAGGAAGACAAGGTTTCACATATTACTACTTCTGAGTTCCACTGAAGCTGTTTATACCATTTATTGAAAAACCTGCAGGCAGCTAGGGGTGAGTCTCTGAACATCTACCTCCTACAAGAAAGGTGGCAGAATGAGAGCATATTGCAAGCCACAAATTCAGATTGTCACATTTGTCAACTGCAGTCCTCACTGTTCTTGTGATGGTTCATCCTATCTCTAACCATCACTCCCCTTTCCAAACAAGCAGTGGGGTCCTGGATTACCAGTATATCCACGTGTAATAGGAAATTACTGTGCAAAACAGAGCTCTTTGCTGGGGGCACTTTGCAAAGTTTTTAGCAGTTAGTGCTGCACTTCAGGAAGCAAGTGCATTTATCTTCATACACTTTGTTGTACAGTTGTGGGGCAGTGCAGGCGCATGCTTTATAGAGTGAAAAAATATCAGATATGGGAGGGAGATATAAATTATCAGAATACAGATTTCATGTTTCAGTGTTTTGCCTGTGGAATTTGTGGATCTATGGATAAATGTGTGTCATATGTCCTGCTTTGCAGCCCATCTAAAGAGAGTAAGTTGGACAACACTGAGGTGTCTGTTTGGAATCTGTCTTTTGTATGAGCTGCAAAAGCTTATGTGTTTTGTTTCAAAAATCATGGTTTTGCTCTGTGTTATTGACAAGCACATCCACTGCCATTCCTGTCAGTGTGAGATGTTTGAAGACTAGGAGGCCTATTTTATACTGGGAGAAAAATAAAGTTACAGAAGACAGATCTAATGGTCTAATAAATCCCATTAGTGTAGCTACTTCAAGCTGCTCCTTCTTCTGGAAATGCAAGAGCAGCAATGACCTGTTTTCAGACAGATGACAACAGTCACCTTTGCGGAAGTGATCTGCAGTTGACAGGTTATATTGTCATGGTAAACACTGTTGGGTTGTTTTTCTTTTTCTTTTTTTTTTTTTTTTTTTTTTTTTTTTCCTGCTCAGATGGCATGCTATAGCATGTGTCTAGCTCGGTCTTTGTGACAGCCAACACATTCTGTTAGAAAGACTGGTGTAGTCATGAGAAGTTTCAGGAACGGTTATTACCATTAAGCCTTAAGCAGATGTTCTTGTTCTTTCTAACTCCTGGTATTTATTCACAGAAGTTTTTGAAAGGACTGTATTAACAAATACAATTTTCAATATTACCGAAGCAGCAAACAAGTTTGATGGCAGCTAAAATTTCAGTAGACCCCTCTGTCTTCTCAAAGCCTATGCAAATGGAAGCTTTTCTTCAATTTTAATATCCTTCATAACTCCACTAGTGACTTATTGTTTCTATTCATGGCTTTTGTTTCTGTATTTTATGATTATACTGTTTCTTTCCTTCTTAAAGATAAATGGACAGCCTTGTACAATACCAGTGCTTTTCAACACTTGTAAAAATAGACACCTGTACACATTCTTTGTCAGCACAAGCTGTATCTGAACACACAGATCTGGAAAATGTGGTGTTAAAGAGGAATACCATTGAATGGGGATGTTTCTAGTGAAGTTTGAGAAGAATTAATACATGGTCTGGCTCTGTCCAGCATTTCCATCTGTCACCTGCTTCAACTAAAGAAAATAATGATAAAGATACAGCTTGTTTCAGGTAGTCCTTTAGCCACTAGAATGTATAGATTACTGGATCCCGGTAGAGCATCATTGTATGCTCTGGTTCTCCTTAGACACTTCTCTCTAAAAACTAGGAAGAGCATTGAAAAATGCGTTTTTCCAAGTATCTGCTCCTGGCAGTTATGGAGGACAGAACACTGGGAACACCAGCCTTTGATCTGACCCTCTGCTAATGGTCTTGAGGGTTTGTTGGTTTCTTATCAGTTTGACATAAAAAGCAGTGGCTATGTGTAGAATTCTGTTTAGATACCTGTTGGAGAGAAAACTCAGGTTATCTTTACTGTAGGTGTTAAGCTTTCTCTTCTGTTACTGTGATGCTGATATCAATTTTCAATTTATTTAGAAGTATCTCATGATGAAAATACGCTTCTCTGTGTAGAAGCTCCTGACGTATTACGAGAGTGGTAGAATACGCTGAGCAATTATGCAAAACCTGTGGAATAGGTAGCAGGCAGTCCTACCTATTGTTTATTCTGCTATCTGGTACCTCTTGGTCTTACAGTCTACATACAGACTGTAGTATTCATATCTCATTCTACTAGAGATATTATGTGGCCAATGTCCTTTCAGTTCCACAGCATGTAGTAATCAAGTCTGGCTCACTATGTATTGTGAAAGATACTGATACATAGAGAGGCTATAAGTAACAATACTTCTCTACTTTGCAGGGCCCTACATTAATCGTAACATTGTAGAAAGAAGACTCAAGTTTCATTATGAACAGTTCAGTGAAGACCCCTAGTTAGGATAATAATTAAAGAAAACAAGCAAAATACAAATATTTATATGGAATGAGACAGAGATTACAATGCAGTACATTAAAACATAACTTGTGCATACTAGAACTACTCTAGCCTGAAATACTGTGTCGAATCTTTGTTTCCCACCACTACAAGAAAGGAATATAGCAAAGAATTGAGGAATCTAGAGATACATAGTAAATTTACCAAGATACACAAGAAGCAAATCCCACATGAAAAAATATTGAGATCGTTTGCTCTGTGTAATTTAGAGAAGGTACCAATAATAATAAAAAAAAAAAAAAAAAAAGAAACCAAAATCCATCTACTGAACTTTCCTAATACTGTAGTAAATGTTGCATCCCAT